CACACACAGGGACAGCTGTCACTGGGGGTGTCCCCTAGGCTACAGACACTCACACACAGGGACAGCTGTCACTGGGGGTATCCCCTAGGCTACAGACACTCACACACAGGGACAGCTGTCGCTGGGGGTGTCCCCCTAGGCTACAGACACTCACACACAGGGACAGCTGTCACTGGGGGTGTCCCCTAGGCTACAGCACCACTCACACACAGGGACAGCTGTCACTGGGGGTGCCCCCTAGGCTACAGCATCACACAGCAGCAGACTCACACACAGGGACAGCTGCCACTGGGGGTGCCCCCTAGGCTACAGCACCACACAGAAGCAGCAGACACACACAGGGACAGCTGTCACTGGGGGTGTCCCCTAGGGGTGCCACTCACTCAGAGAGTTAAGGGAGAGTTAAGGGAGAGTTAAGAGAGAGTTAAGGGAGAGTTAAGGGAGAGTTAAGTGGAGAGTTAAGGGAGAGTTAAGTGGAGAGTTAAGAGAGAGTTAAGAGAGAGTTAAGGGAGAGTTAAGGGAGAGTTAAGGGAGAGCTAAGGGAGAGTTAAGGGAGAGTTAAGGGAGAGTTAAGGGAGAGTTAAGGGAGAGTTAAGGGAGAGTTAAGAGAGAGTTAAGGGAGAGTTAAGGGAGAGTTAAGTGGAGAGTTAAGGGAGAGTTAAGTGGAGAGTTAAGAGAGAGTTAAGGGAGAGTTAAGGGAGAGTTAAGGGAGAGTTAAGGGAGAGTTAAGGGAGAGTTAAGGGAGAGTTAAGGGAGAGTTAAGGGAGAGTTAGGGGAGAGTTAGGGGAGAGGTAAGGGAGAGTTAAGGGAGAGTTAAGAGAGAGTTAAGGGAGAATTAAGAGAGATAATTAAGAGAGAGTTAAGGGAGAGTTAAGGGAGAGTTAAGGGAGAGTTAAGAGATAATTAAGAGACAGTTAAGGGAGAGTTAAGGGAGAGTTAAGGGAGAGTTAAGAGGGAGAGTTAAGGGAGAGTTAAGGGAGAGTTAAGGGAGAGTTAAGGGAGAGTTAAGGGAGAGTTAATGGAGAGCTAAGGGAGAGTTAAGAGAGAGTTAAGGGAGAGTTAAGAGAGAGTTAAGGGAGAATTAAGAGAGATAATTAAGAGAGAGTTAAGGGAGAGTTAAGGGAGAGTTAAGGGAGAGTTAAGAGAGAGTTAATGGAGAGCTAAGGGAGAGTTAAGAGAGAGTTAAGGGAGAGTTAAGAGAGAGTTAAGGGAGAATTAAGAGAGAGAGTTAAGAGAGAGTTAAGGGAGAGTTAAGGGAGAGCTAAGGGAGAGTTAAGGGAGAGTTAAGGGAGAGTTAAGGGAGAGCTAAGGGAGAGTTAAGGGAGAGCTAAGGGAGAGCTAAGAGAGAGTTAAGGGAGAGCTAAGGGAGAGCTAAGGGAGAGTTAAGGGAGAGCTAAGGGAGAGTTAAGGGAGAGCTAAGGGAGAGTTAAGGGAGAGTTAAGGGAGAGTTGAGGGAGAGTTAAGGGAGAGTTAAGGGAGAGTTAAGGGAGAGCTAAGGGAGAGCTAAGAGAGAGTTAAGGGAGAGTTAAGAGAGAGTTAAGAGAGAGTTAAGGGAGAGTTAAGGGAGAATTAAGAGATAATTAAGAGACAGTTAAGGGAGAGTTAAGGGGAGTTAAGGGAGAGTTAAGGGAGAGTTAAGGGAGAGTTAAGGGAGAGCTAAGGGAGAGTTAAGGGAGAGTTAAGGGAGAGTTAAGTGGAGAGTTAAGGGAGAGTTAAGGGAGAGTTAAGGGAGAGTTAAGTGGAGAGTTAAGAGATAATTAAGAGAGAGTTAAGGGAGAGTTAAGGGAGAGTTCAGGGAGAGTTAAGGGAGAGTTAAGGGAGAGTTAAGGGAGAGTTAAGGGAGAGTTAAGTGGAGAGTTAAGGGAGAGTTAAGGGAGATTTAAGGGAGAGTTAAGGGAGAGTTAAGGGAGAGTTAAGTGGAGAGTTAAGGGAGAGTTAAGGGAGAGTTAAGGGAGAGTTAAGTGGAGAGTTAAGTGGAGAGTTAAGGGAGAGTTAAGGGAGAGTTGAGGGAGAGTTGAGGGAGAGTTAAGGGAGAGTTAAGGGAGAGTTAAGGGAGAGTTGAGGGAGAGTTAAGGGAGAGTTAAGGGAGAGTTAAGGGAGAGTTAAGTGGAGAGTTAAGGGAGAGTTAAGGGAGAGTTAAGGGAGAGTGTTTTCCTACCTGGACCTCTCCCCCAGGTAGGGCGACTCCCAGCAGAGGTTCAGTACCGCTGGTGGCCACTGAAGAAGCAGCAGAAGAAGACTCCATCGACTCTCTACTCTCTGTGACTCTCTAGTGACTCTCTACTCTCTATGACTCTCTAGTGACTCTCTACTCTCTACTCTCTGTGACTCTCTAGTGACTCTCTAGTGACTCTCTACTCTCTAGTGACTCTCTAGTGACTCTCTACTCTCTAGTGACTCTCTAGTGACTCTCTACTCTCTAGTGACTCTCTACTCTCTAGTGACTCTCTAGTGACTCTCTAGTGACTCTCTACTCTCTAGTGACTCTCTAGTGACTCTCTAGTGACTCTCTACTCTCTAGTGACTCTCTAGTGACTCTCTGGTGACTCTCTACTCTCTAGTGACTCTCTACTCTCTAGTGACTCTCTACTCTCTAGTGACTCTCTACTCCCTACTCTCTAGTGACTCCCTAGTGACTCTCTACTCTCTAGTGACTCTCTACTCTCTAGTGACTCTCTAGTGACTCTCTAGTGACTCTCTAGTGACTCTCTACTCTCTAGTGACTCTCTACTCTCTACTCCCTAGTGACTCTCTACTCTCTAGTGACTCTCTACTCTCTAGTGACTCTCTAGTGACTCTCTACTCTCTAGTGACTCTACTCTCTAGTGACTCTCTACTCTCTAGTGACTCTCTAGTGACTCTCTACTCTCTAGTGACTCTCTAGTGACTACTCTCTAGTGACTCTCTACTCTCTAGTGACTCTCTACTCTCTAGTGACTCTCTAGTGACTCTCTACTCTCTGTGACTCTCTAGTGACTCTCTACTCTCTGTGACTCTCTAGTGACTCTCTACTCTCTACTCTCTAGTGACTCTCTAGTGACTCTCTACTCTCTAGTGACTCTCTACTCTCTAGTGACTCTCTAGTGACTCTCTAGTGACTATCTACTCTCTAGTGACTCTCTAGTGACTCTCTACTCTCTAGTGACTCTCTAGTGACTCTCTAGTGACTCTCTAGTGACTCTCTACTCTCTAGTGACGCTCTACTCTCTAGTGACTCTCTACTCTCTAGTGACTCTCTACTCTACTCTCTAGTGACTCTCTACTCTACTCTCTAGTGACTCTCTACTCTACTCTCTAGTGACTCTCTAGTGACTCTCTACTCTCTAGTGACTCTCTACTCTCTAGTGACTCTCTAGTGACTCTCTACTCTCTAGTGACTCTCTAGTGACTCTCTACTCTCTAGTGACTCTCTAGTGACTCTCTAGTGACTCTCTACTCTCTAGTGACTCTCTACTCTCTAGTGACTCTCTAGTGACTCTCTACTCTCTAGTGACTCTCTACTCTCTAGTGACTCTCTAGTGACTCTCTACTCTACTCTCTAGTGACTCTCTACTCTACTCTCTAGTGACTCTCTAGAGACTCTCTAGAGACTCTCTAGAGACTCTCTACTCTCTAGTGACTCTCTAGTGACTCTCTACTCTCTAGTGACTCTCTAGTGACTCTCTACTCTCTAGTGACTCTCTAGTGACTCTCTACTCTCTAGTGACTCTCTAGTGACTCTCTACTCTCTAGTGACTCTCTAGTGACTCTCTACTCTCTAGTGACTCTCTAGTGACTCTCTACTCTCTAGTGACTCTCTAGTGACTCTCTACTCTCTAGTGACTCTCTACTCTCTAGTGACTCTCTACTCTATAGTGACTCTCTACTCTCTAGTGACTCTCTAGTGACTCTCTACTCTCTAGTGACTCTCTAGTGACTCTCTACTCTCTAGTGACTCTCTAGTGACTCTCTAGTGACTCTCTACTCTCTAGTGACTCTCTACTCTACTCTCTAGTGACTCTCTACTCTACTCTCTAGTGACTCTCTAGTGACTCTCTAGTGACTCTCTAGTGACTCTCTACTCTCTAGTGACTCTCTAGTGACTCTCTAGTGACTCTCTACTCTCTAGTGACTCTCTAGTGACTCTCTAGTGACTCTCTACTCTCTAGTGACTCTCTACTCTCTAGTGACTCTCTAGTGACTCTCTACTCTCTAGTAACTCTCTACTCTCTAGTGACTCTCTAGTGACTCTCTACTCTCTAGTGACTCTCTACTCTCTAGTGACTCTCTAGTGACTCTCTAGTGACTCTCTACTCTCTACTCTCCACCAGGACCCGCTGCTGTTAACGCTCCCAAAATATCTACTCTGTCTCTCTCTCTGTGTCTCTCTGTTTCTGTCTTTCTCTGTGTCTCTCTCTGTGTCTCTGTCTCTCTCTCTCTGTGTCTCTCTGTCTCTGTCTGTGTGTCTCTCTGTGTCTCTGTCTGTGTCTCTGTCTGTGTCTCTCTCTGTGTGTCTCTCTGTCTCTCCCTCTGTGTCTCTGTCTGTGTCTCTCTCTGTGTGAGTCTCTCTCTGCCTCTCTTTGTGTTTCTCTCTGTGTGTCTCTCTGTCTCTCTCTCTCTGTGTCTCTCTCTGTGTGAGTCTCTCTCTGCCTCTCTCTCTCTGTGTTTCTCTCTGTGTGAGTCTCTCTCTGTGTGAGTCTCTCTCTCTGTGTGAGTCTCTCTCTCTGCCTCGCTCTCTCTGTCTCTCTCTCTCTCTGTGTCTCTGTGTGTCTATCTCTGTCTCTGTGTCTCTCTGTGTGTCTCTGTGTCTCTGTCTCTCTCTCTGTGTGAGTCTCTCTCTGCCTCTCTCTCTCTGTGAGTCTCTCTCTCTGTGAGTCTCTCTCTGTGCGAGTCTCTCTCTGTCTCTCTCTCTCTGTGTCTCTCTGTCTCTCTGTGTCTCTCTCTGTGTGAGTCTCTCTCTGTGCGAGTCTCTCTCTGTCTCTCTCTCTGTGTGTCTCTCTGTCTCTCCCTCTGTCTCTCTGTCTCTCTGTGTGTCTCTCTCTCTGTGTCTCTCTCTGTGTGAGTCTCTCTCTGCCTATCTCTCTGTCTCTGTCTCTCTCTGTGTGTCTCTCTGTCTCTCTCTCTCTCTGTCTCTCTCTGCCTCTCTCTCTGTGTTTCCCTCTGAGTGAGTCTCTCTCTGTGTGAGTCTCTCTCTGTGTGAGTCTCTCTCTCTGTGTGTGTGTCTCTCTCTCTCTCTGCGTGTCTCTCTGTCTTCTCTCTCTGTCTCTCTCTCTCTGTGAGCCTCTCTCTGCCTCTCTCTCTGTGTCTCTCTCTTGCTCTCTCTCTGTGTTTCCCTCTGTGTGAGTCTCTCTCTCTGTGTCTCTCTCTGCCTCCCTCTCTCTGTGTGAGTCTCTCTCTGCCTCTCTCCCTCTGTGTGAGTCTCTCTCTGTGTCTCTCTCTGCCTCCCTCTCTCTGTGTGAGTCTCTCTCTGCCTCTCTCCCTCTGTGTGAGTCTCTCTCTGTGTCTCTCTCTGCCTCTCTCTCTCTGTGTGAGTCTCTCTCTGCCTCTCTCCCTCTGTGTGAGTCTCTCTCTGTGTCTCTCTCTGCCTCTCTCCCTCTGTGTGAGTCTCTCTCTGTGTCTCTCTCTGCCTCTCTCCCTCTGTGTGAGTCTCTCTCTGTGTCTCTCTCTGCCTCTCTCTCTCTGTGAGTCTCTCTCTGTGTCTCTCTCTCTGCCTCTCTCTCTCTCTGTGTGAGTCTCTCTCTGTGTCTCTCTCTGCCTCTCTCTGTGTGAGTCTCTCTCTGTGTCTCTCTCTGCCTCTCTCTCTCTGTGAGTCTCTCTCTGTGTCTCTCTCTGCCTCTCTCTCTCTGTGTGAGTCTCTCTCTGTGTCTCTCTCTCCCTCTGTGCGAGTCTCTCTCTGTGTCTCTCTCTGCCTCTCTCTCTCTGTGAGTCTCTCTCTGTGTCTCTCTCTGCCTCTCTCCCTCTGTGTGAGCCTCTCTCTGTGTCTCTCTCTGCCTCTCTCCCTCTGTGTGAGTCTCTCTCTGTGTCTCTCTCTGCCTCTCTCCCTCTGTGTGAGTCTCTCTCTGTGTCTCTCTCTGCCTCTCTCTCTCTGTGAGTCTCTCTCTGTGTCTCTCTCTGCCTCTCTCTCTCTCTGTGTGAGTCTCTCTCTGTGTCTCTCTCTGTGTGTGAGTCTCTCTCTGTGTCTCTCTCTGCCTCTCTCTCTCTCTGTGTGAGTCTCTCTCTGTGTCTCTCTCTCCCTCTGTGCGAGTCTCTCTCTGTGTCTCTCTCTGCCTCTCTCTCTCTGTGAGTCTCTCTCTGTGTCTCTCTCTGCCTCTCTCTCTCTGTGTGAGTCTCTCTCTGTGTCTCTCTCTGTGTGAGTCTCTCTCTGTGTCTCCCTCTCTGCCTCTCTCTCTCTCTGTGTGAGTCTCTCTCTGTGTCTCTCTCTGTGTGTGAGTCTCTCTCTGTGTCTCTCTCTGTGTCTCTCTCTGTGTGTGAGTCTCTCTCTGTGTCTCTCTCTGCCTCTCTCTCTCTCTGTGTGTGAGTCTCTCTCTCCCCGGCGTCTCTGAGTCCAGCCTCCCCCCCTCACCCCTCCCCCCCTCACCCCCTCACCCCTCCCCCCCTCACCCCCCCTCCCCCACTCCCCCCCTCACCCCTCCCCCACTTCTAAGTTCAGCCGAGACCCCCCCCCCCACTCCCCTCCCTACCCCGCCCCACCACCACCACCACCACCCACACACTCGCCCCTCCCCCACCCCCACTCGCCCCTCCCCCACCCCCACTCGCCCCTCCCCCACCCCCACTCGCCCCTCCCCCACCCCCACTCGCCCCTCCCCCACCCCCACTCGCCCCTCCCCCACCCCCACTCGCCCCTCCCCCACCCCTCACTCGCCCCTCCCCCCAACTCTCCCCCCCACTCACTCTGCCCCCTTCCTCTCTAACCCTCACCCCTCCCCCTCTCACCCCTCCCCCCTCCCCCCTCCCCCCTCCCCGCCTGGCGCCGCCGCCACCGCCGCCGCCGCCGCCACTTCCCCTCCCCCCCCACCACCACCCCCCACCACCACCCCCCACCACCACCCCCCACCACCAACCCCCCACCCACCACCAACCCCCCACCCACCCACCAACCCCCCCCCCCTCTAATCCGGCGCTTTGCTCAGCCACTGCTGGCGAAGGTGAAGGAACAGAATCCACTTAGACACTCACTTAGACACTCACTTAGACACTCACTCACTTAGACACTCACTCACTTAGACACTCACTTAGACACTCACTCACTTAGACACTCACTTAGACACTCACTTAGACACTCACTTAGACACTCACTTAGACACTCACTCACTTAGACACTCACTCACTTAGACACTCACTTACTTAGACACTCACTT